GTTTCTCTGCAAATATAAAAGAAGTCATCTAATAGGTATTGATAATCAGTCTTTTTCATTTTTATACTTGCAAATGAATTTATGATTTCAATTGGAAGGAAATTATATTCGTTCTGAATTACTAATGACGTTTTATGAGAAATAAGTTCTGGATTTTGTTCGTATAACAAACTCATTAAATCAATAACTTTCTCCCTTTTTGTTTTAGTTGTAAATTTACGGGCATTTGATAATAAACTTCTTATTAAAGTTTCTCCTTCATTTTGAAGATAAGTATTTGAATATGAACTTCGGTTGGAGTGGAAGAAAAGAATCATTGAATCAACTACTGTTCCAAAAGTTTCACCGCTCATTGTATCTAACACATTTAATGACCATGGAATAAATCGTTGTTGAAGGACTGAGTCAGAGAATTCTAATGGATATTTGTCAAGTAATTGAGAAATAATAATAAAACATTCTGTAATAACATCAGTATAACTACTTTTTGGTTGAACAAGAACAAATTGAAATATTGTGTCAAGAACCGGTGGAATAAAAGTAAAGCAATAATTTTTACATAAGGGGTTATGAGAGCGATCATCTTCACGTTTAAGAGCTCGTATAAGGAAAGAATACATTTTAACAATAGAGGCTAAATGAGTATTTTGCCACCATTGAACCATTTGAGTAGAAATTGTTTGAGTGAAATCTACAATAGATGGACCAATAAAGAAGAACAAATATCTAATACAAGAAGCAATATCTTCTATTAATGACTCATTCTTATTTTGAATAGCAAATTCCATTAGTCTAAAGAGAGTAGGAATAACATCATACTTTTGTAAAAATGAGATAGTAATATTTTGTAAATTTAATTTAACACCAGAGTCAAACCATGAAGTTAATATTCCAATAAGCGCTGTCATTAATTCAGGTGATATTGGTTGAGATAATGATTTAACGAGTGGTGGGATAAATGTTTCTATATATTTTAGTTTAATTTCAAATGGTTGTTTTTCTAAAACTAAACAATAACCATTTATTAAACTACTAAATGACCCATTAACTCCACCAACTTTCCATGATTGTGGCATTTGTTGATAAACAGATGAGAATGTTTGTGAGATTACATCGATTAATGGAATAAAATCAACAGCACAACCATCACACATATTTTCAAATGAAATTGCTACTGGTTCAATAAGTTCAGGAATATTAATATATTTAAGAATATACTGAAGAGCAGTAGGTGCAAATGTAGGTGCATAATTATGTATCCAATCACAATATCTACCAACACAAAATACTGAAGTATGAAGAAAATGAAGATTAGTTGATTCAATTTTAACAATAGATTGAAGAATAGATAATACCATTTCTGATTTATATTCACTTAATACTCTTGCTAAAGACCTAAAACAAAACAATGATGCTTCTGCAATATCTAATTGATTTGGTATTGTTGAAACACAAATAGATGAGATTGTATCTAATAATAATGGACATGGAACAATATCACATGACCTTCTTACAAACTCACTAATAACATCTTTTCTAAAATCAATAAAATCAAGAAGTTCTTCTTGATCTCCATTATCTATTAAAGGTGTTTGTACTCTTAAAACATGTTCAAACATTGAAACAAATGTTTCTGTTAATGCAAAACATATTTTCTCTCTCATACTTTCATGTGCTGTTTCATTAAGAAAGTCAGTTAAATCAACAACAACGTCAGTGATTCTTGTTATATTTCGAATAGACCTAATACAAGTGAATTGATCTAATAGTCTATAATACATAATAAATTGATTAGAATCAATTTTATCAATATACGTTGTTAATACAAATCCTAAAGAACAATAAAAATCACTTACCCATTCAAAATCTTCAATATCTCCTTGAGTTGTTTGAACAATGGAAGATATATTTGTTATTAATTGTTTAAGAACATATTGAACTATATTAATACATATTCCAACTTCTTCATCAGTTGTTTTCTCATTAATTGAACGAATTTTCTTCATAAAATAATAAAATGAATCTGATGAACGTTCTCTTAAATTTTTTTGTTTAATTCCTTCGAAAATCATTTGAATAATTTGACATTGATTTAATAATGAAATAGAAATATCAAGGTTTTGAATCCAACTATTAAAACAGTCTAAAGCATTTCCTGGAAATAAAACAAATGAACGTTGAATAAAATCAAGTATTGTTGGTGATGTATGAATTAAATTATCATGTAATGAATAAAGATATTCTTTCTTTGCGAATGGTAATTTTTTATTTGCCTCAGCTATTGAAGAAAACATTAATAATAAAACAGGAATATTTGAAGTATCAGTGATAGGGAAATTTTGTATAATTAAAGGGAAATAATCATTCCATGAATTTGACTGGACGCATAACGCTGCTAATGATTGTGCAAGATGAGATGTAATCATTTTTTGATTTTTATATACAGATAAACACTTTAATATAAATTTAAATAATTCATCAAAATTCTCTATTTCTTTGAAATTATAACACACTTTCTTCTTTAATATAATTGCTCCATAATAAATTCGTTGTTGATAAAATGCAACACTTGGTTCACTTGTTAATAACAATGGAATAACTTGCCATGCTTCTTTAGTTTTCATAAATTCTTGTAAATACTGATCTGCTTTTGTTGTTTCTTCAGGTATTTGTTGTGGTGAGTATAATACAGAAATTGCTTTTAGAACATCTTCCACTGGTTGGCTCATTTTAGGTTTTTCTAGTTTTTTGTTGCATTTTTTATGGAAAAAGAAAGAAAAGTGAATGGAATGACGTGGTTTAACATAATAATTTAATTTATAATAAATTATAGTATAATATTTAGTTATATATTACCTCTTTTCTTTATTAAACAGATGAAGTGCAATAAGAACAAAGACATTAAAAGCAATACAAAATCCTGCAAGTACAAAATAATTAACAAGAATTGAAGAAGTAATTTGTAAAGAGTCTAAGTATTGTCTACCACTTGTATATGGACATTGACCACCAACTAATTCATCAGGTTGACAAAAAAGAGGGATGTCATCAAATTGATTTAACATTACTAATTCAAATGCATATCTTAAATAAGAAAGATAATACGCCCATAACCAAAATCCAATAATATTATCTTTTTGTATAAAGAATCCTGTAAAAATCATCAAAATTACTATAACAATAGGTGATATAATTTGTGCGACTGTAATACTTGGTGATATTGCTGCAATTGTATAATACATTCCTTGTGAAGTGAAGGTTGTCAATACCAAAGCTCCCCACATACATAAAAAGTTAACAAAACCAGAACGAAGATTAAGCATTGGATAAGCAATAGCTAAATATAATGTTGGATAAAAGACTAAAAATGGAATAGAATGTAGAATATATGCACAATAATAAGATGTAATACTATATAATCCTTTTCCTGATTCTCTTCTCATTAATGTTCGTTCTTCTATAAATTGAATTAAATAATCCATTAATGACATTGCTTGAGAAGTGACAATAAAAAAGAGAACACCTCCTTTATCTCTCATTCCTTGTTGGTCATTCTGAATATTAAAGAAGACAGATCCAATTAATAATGAAAAAAATATTTTTGCAAAGATTTGACCAACAATTTGTGATGGATCACGATAATCTGAGATTATTAATCTTTTAATCAATTCATAAAATCCTACTGGTCTTCCTACTTTTTTCTTCATTTTTTCTAAATCAGCAGAATTTATTTCTTCAATCTCATTAACTATTATTGTTTTTCTTTTTTCAAATACTTGTTGAATACTTTTTTTCTCTCCTCCAAAATTCTCTGCTAATAATTCTCTTCCTTGGTCATTCCCATATTCATATGCACCAGCATCCATTAATGCATCAGCAACATTATCTTCTGTTTCAAACCCAGCTTCTTTTAAAAATGATTTACATCCACTTGGTGGACCAAAATACATCATATGACCATGATTTAACATAATAATCTTATCAAACTTTTGAAATATTAATGGTCTTGGTTGATGAATAGTACAGATAATTGTTGTTCCTTTATGTGCCATTTTTTGTAATGCATTAACAACAGCTAATGAACTAAATGAATCTAATCCAGTAGTTGGTTCATCAAGAAACATTATACCTGGTTCAGTTACTAATTCACAACCAATAGATACTCTTTTTTTTTCTCCACCACTAATTCCTCTTCTTTTCTCTGTCCCAATTAAAGAATCTTTGATTTTAGTAAGGTCTAATACTTCTAATACTTCTTTAACAATCATCTTTCTTTCATTCTGTCTACTTGAAAGTGGTGCTTTTAATTTGATATAGAACTCTAACGCTTCTTCTACTGTTTGTGTACCTTTTAGATAATCAGTTTGTGACACATATCCAATTGATGTTTTATATTTTTTTACATCTTCATTATTAATTAATACTTCTCCACTTATATTTCCTCGCTTATTAATGCCAGAAAGAATATCCAATAATGTTGATTTCCCTGCACCACTTCCTCCCATTAAAGCAACTAACTCCCCTGCTTCTATAAATCCACTAACATCATCTAAAATTACTTTCTTTGTTAATTTTATTGGAAAAGAAAGATGATGAAAGAAATCTTTATTTATTTCAAAGGTATTGATTGAATAACTAATGTGCTTAAATGTGAGATTAATTGGATTGATTTGGAGACATGGACTGATAACGTCAAACGCTTTTTCATGATTATTTGATTCCCCAACATCAATAACAATCGTTGGTTGTTCTACTTTCTTATCCATTAATATATGTACATTCTTTTTGATCACTTTCTTTATATTCCCTTAATTTTTGCTGAGATTCAAGTTATGATTACAAGATTTAAAGATTCTTTTATATAACAATTCATTTTATAAATAACAAAATTTAAATAACAAAATTTAAATTATTTTTTATTTTTGTTTTTTATTCTATTGGTTATTCTATTTTTTGTTTTTAGAGTTATTCTAATTTTATAGGTAGAACTAAAAAAGCAAATGTCGAGAACCCAATCACGAATTGCCCGATTATCTCAAATGTTTGAACAAAAACAGAATGATGGTGTTCCTAAATTGGAAGAGTTAAAAGCAAAAAGAAGAACGCCATCATTTGGAAAGTCTGCAAAGAAAGATGAAAACCATCTAACAAGTGATACAACATCAACACCAAATAATGAGAATAACAGAGTTATTGAAAAACCAATTGAAACAATTCCTTTAGATAAATTTGATGATGATTTAGACTATGAAGAAGAAATATTATTTGAAAAGAAGAAATAAATATTACAATCACCTTGTTTAAGAATGAATATATAATTTAAGTCTCACATAATCATTTCAGGTTAATTACAGCTAATGTAACTATTCCACCAATTAAACACAATACTAATATTAAAGAAATAATAATAAGTAACCAAAGCTGATGATGTGTCAATCTATTTTTTTCTATTTATAACTGACTAAGAAAAGAAAAAAACAAACCTTGAAATTCTTCCACCAATATGTTTTTCTCAATACTATTGCTTGTTTTTTAAATTGTTGAGCATTTATTGACATCTCATTTGATTGGACTTCTAATTCTTCTGCTGTAGCAATGTTCTGTGTCATCATTTCAACATTTTTTGCCATAGTATTTTTTGTTTCTTCAAGTTGCTTCTTGATTCTGTCTTTTTGATTTTCAAAATATGGACTTCTAACAACAGTCCTATGAATCAGTAATTAGTTTTATAAGAAAAAATTTTTTATAAGAATTACAAACGGAAACATAACTAAGTATTATCTATATTTTTATCATATTAAGTAAGTTCTTAAATAATCTTGACTATTCACTTGTCAATAATCACGAAACAAATACCCAAAAAACAATCTCAAAAATAAAAAGAAAGAATGAAAAGCAGTCATAAAAGACCTTTTAGTGGAAAACAAAAAAAACAGCAACTAAGTGAAAGAAGAGAAAGAAAGAGAGAAGTGTCAGAAAAAGAAACTGAGAAAAACGTTCAAACAGAAGAAGAATTAGTGTCTAAAACAAAAACAAAATTGAAAGAACAAATTTTTGCAACAAAAAGAGATTTAAGACCAAAACTTCTTGGAATGGAAACTAAAGAAGAAATTGATGAACGTAAGAAATTAGCAGATTTCCCAATAGACTTAACAAAACGAGTAAATGGAAGAGCTATTCCATTGTTTGATATAACTGGTGAAGAACTTGACATTATCACTCGACCACCATGGAACTATAGTATGACTGCTGAAGAATTAGATCAAAATGAAAAAGTGATTTTTGAAGAATGGATAACAAAAATTATTGATGAACATCCCAAAAATATAAATTATTTTGAAAGTAACTTAGAGACATGGAGGCAATTATGGAGAGTTGTTGAACGGTCTCAAGTTGTTTTAATGATAGTTGATGTTAGATTTGGATGTATTCAATTTAACAGAAAAGTTGCAGAATGGATTAAAAGCTTAAATAAAGGATTTGGGGTGATATTGAACAAGAGTGATTTAGTTGATGAAAAGATTGTATTAGAATGGCAAGAATACTTTTTAAAAAAATTTGGAGTTAAAACTCTTTATGTAAAAACAAATCAAGCAATTGAAGGAAGGACTGAAGACTGGGATCTCGAAAGTATTAGAAATGAAAAGAAGAAAGAAGGAGGTGAAAAGAGTTATGTTAAAACAACACTACAAGATTTTGAAAATTTTGTAATGGAATTAAAACCATCTAAAGAAATAAAAGAAGAAGAAAAACCAATTGAACAAGAAGAAGATTCAAAAAAGATAAAACCTAAAGAAAAGAAATTAGTTGTTGGTTTAATTGGAAATCCTAACGTTGGAAAATCATCACTTTTAAATTGGCTTGTTGGTAAGAAAGTTACTTCTGTCTCATCTCATCCCGGGAGAACAAAGTATCTTCAAACGTATAATATGAATAAACATATTACTCTTGCTGACTGTCCAGGAATGATGTTTCCAATGATAAATCAATCTCAATTGATTCAAGTGATTTGTGGAATTTATCCATTAAGTCAACTAAGAGAACCATATAGTATTGTAAGATTTTTCTTAGAAAGATTACCACTTGATAAAATATATTCAATTGAACTAACCCCAAATATGACAGTAATGGAATTTGTTGAAGCATATGCACAGAAAAAGAATTATATCACAGGAAAAGCTGGAAGACTTGACACTCACAAAGCAGCAAGAGAAATACTAACAGATTGTATAAGAGGGAGGATAGTATTTATGTTTGAACCACCAAAGTTAGAATAAAAAATTCAAACTTCAAAGTTATTTTGTTATTTATATTTTTTTAAAGAAAAAAACACTGATTTTAACTTGAATATAATTTAAAGTAGTTAAACAAATTAAAAGAAATAGTAAAATGTAAAGAATTATAAAGTGATAGACATGGAAAGAAGTCAGATGATACCATTATTATTCCAGTTTCAATATTTATTACAAAATAAAATCGTCTATCGATACAAATTTCCTGAGAGTACTGCATATAAAAAATTACAATTTTATTCATATGGATTATTAAAAGAAAGAATAAGTAAAATTATATTAAACCAATTTGGAACAGCTTCACCTCATGCTATGACAAGAGTAAGAGAATTTGTTTTAGCTTCTAAACATGAAATAGCTGGAGAAATTAATGTAGATGAATCAGTATTTGAAGTACTTTTAACAGAATGTTTATTACTTCAAGGAAATGCTCATGTATTTGGAGAACAATTATTATTATCAATGTTTCAATTAGGCTTACAACGATATATTTCTTCTATAGATCAAAGAAAAACAAAATGGATTAATGAAGGTAAATTAAATACTTTTAATGAGAAATATGTTGAATTACCAATAACTCCTTCACCAACTTCATATTCTTCTTTTTATGGTTTAAAATATTAAATTTTGTTTGATTTGGTTATTATTTTATAAAAATTAGTCAATTGAATGCTATTAGATGAGAATAATTTAATCTCTGTCTTCTACTTGTTCAAT